TCCTAAAAAAAAAAAAGAAAAAAAAAAGTTAAAAAACAACGACAACAAAAAAGAAGCTGCAGGCATCGTTCAGCCTTAAACACTTTATTGAATCTACATTAAAAAAAAATTTTTAGAAACATTTTTATTTTGAAGTAACTGTGGACCTAGATAGAAAGGTTGCAAAAATAGTACAGAGTTCCTGTATAATGTTCACTCAGTTTCCTCTAATATTCAACCTACATGTAAATTTTTTATCTTTTTTGAGATGGAGTTTCACTCTGTCAACCAGGCTGGAGCACAGTGGCATGATCTCGGCTCACTGCAGCCACTACCTCTCGAGCTTAAGTGATCCTCCCACCTCAGCCTCCTGAGTAGCTGGGACCATAGGTGCATGTCACCATGCCCAGTTAATATTTCGTATTTTTTTTTTGTAGAGACAGGTTTTTGTCATGTTGTCCAAGCTGGTCTCAAACTCTTGAACTCAAGTGATCTGCTGGCCTCGGCCTCCCAAATTGCTGGGATTACAGGCATGAGCCATGGTGCCCAGCCTGCACCTACATTTTTTAAGCACAATGCATGTCTCTTCTTCAAAAGAAGCATTCATTAGCAAGATGAGGTCAACCATTTGGATATGCTCCCCAAAAATCTGCACTGGCTCCCCACCTCCTACCAATTATAGTCTAAAAATGTTGGTATCAGCTTCTATAAATGAATCTGGAACCGCCCACTGTTTTGCTTCCTCCTATGCACTAGTGTTCCAATCACCAGTCCATGAAAATATTAAGCAGCCTTTGTCCTCGGGGCCTTTGTTCATATTGCCCAGCCTCAAATGACGCCTTATACACCAGTTCCTTCCTAGATACAATATATAAAATAGCGGCCAGGCATGGTGGTTCATGTCTGTAATCCCAGCACTTTGGGAGGCCAAAACAGGAAGATCACTTGAGGCCAGGAGTTCAAGACCAGCCTGGGCAACATAGCAAGACCTCATCTCTACCAAAAAAATAAAAAGTTAAAAAAATATGTAAAATAGCAGGCTGAACATGGTGGCTCACACCTGTGATCCAAGCACTTTGGGAGGCCAAGGCAGGTGGATCATCTGAGGTCAGAAGTTCAAGACCAGCCTGGCCAACATGGTGAAACCCCATCTCTACTAAAAAATATAAAAAATTAGCCATGTGTGGTGGCAGGTGCCTGTAATCCCAGCTACTCGGGAGGCTGAGGCAGGAGGATCACTTGAACCCAGGAGGCAGAGGTTGCAGTGAGCCAAGGTTGTGCCACTACACTCCAGCCTGGGCAACCAAAACTCCATCTCAAAAAAAAAAAAATATATATATATATATATACACACACACACACCACACACACACACACACACACACACACACACACATATATATACACACCATTGCCATTACTGCCATTTCCACATCTCCCTCCTGGGCCCAGCCTTGCCTTGCACTCCTATGCCCTTTGCTTTGCTTTATTTTTCTCCATATCCCTTCTCACCATTCCATACTACACAGTGTTAGCTGCCTGTCTTTCACATGAGGGAGTGACTTGCTCTGTTTTGTTCAAAGCTGTATTCTCAGTGTCTTGAACATGTCTTGCACCTAATAAGTGCTTAGCAAATACCTGTTGAGTGAATTTAACAGCTATCTGATAAGGAAAAAGGAATGACTTTCCCCATTCTCACTTAACTTTTCAACCCCCACTCTTCTGCCCCCACAAAGCAAAACCAAGCTTATGTCAAGAGCTTGGCAGGCATCTGCCTGGGGGTTTATGCTCTCTAAAGTTGTGATTATCCTCCTGTCAATCATGGGGAAAAAATAAAAAATAAACGTATGGGCTGGGTACAGTGGCTCATGCCTGCAGTCTCAGCACTTTGAGAGGCCAAGGCAGGAGGACTGCTTGAGCTCAGGAGTTTGAAAGCTGACTGGGCAACACCGTGAAACACCATCTCTACAAAACCCACAAAAACTAGCCAGGTGTAGTAGCATGCACCTGTGGTCAGAATTACTTGGGAAGGATTGCTTGAACCCAGGAGGTCAATGCTGCAGTTAGCCTAGATTACGCCACAGCCTAGCCTGGGTGACACAGTGAGACCAGGTCTCAAAGAAAAAAAGCCAAATCAGAAATAAGCAAAAATAAAAGTGTGATTGTTCCTTTCCTCAAAAATTACCCCTAGCCCAGAATATGTTCATCTCTAGATCTTCCCCTAGGAGGCAGCACATTACAGTACAATGATTTTGAAATACAGAAAGCTGTTAGCTTCTTAGGACCACCCTTGCAAATCCAAGGATAAGATCCAGGACTCTGCACCCTAGATGATACTGAACAGTGAGCTTAGGACCACACTTGGAGAATCACTGGATGTGTTCTGGAAGTCCAACAGACCTCTGTTCAGATCCCAGCTACACTGTTCAGCAGCCACACGGCACCGAGTAAAACTTCACTTTACTCAGCATCAATTCCTGACCTGTAAAATGGGTAACATTACCTAACTCGCTGGCTAACACAACTACCTACCACAATGCCTGGCTCATAGCATTTACTCAATAAACAATAGCTATCAGTCTCTGTCCTGCCTTCAGATTCCTGGGTTTTGTTGTTGTTGTTTTGTTTAAAGGATTCATTCCTTTTCAACAGCTTTCAGCCTCCATTTCTTATTGATTCAATTTTCAAAAACAAAAGTTCTGCTTAATCTAGTATTGCATATTGCATTAGTTGTAGATTTCACATTAACAGCTCTTAGGGACAGGAAGAAAACAAGGTTAACTAGAACGGGCGCCAGAAGGAAATTTAAGTTCTGAACGTTTCTAACTCACTGTGGTCCCCAATCTGTGCAGGGAAGGAGTCCAGCCTGATAGTCTATGAGTTTGGAGAGCTGAGTACAGGCCCTAGCTCTGCAAAAGACTTGCTGTGCAATTTTAGGCAAGGCTCTGGGCCCTCTCTGTCTTCTCAGTGTTTCCATCCATTCAGTGAAAGAATTTCAACTTAGTGTATGAGTCAGAAAGAAGAACAGGTCCTGATTCTGTACTTAATCAGGTGTGTGATTTTTAATAACCAACATAACCAAGCCGTCTCGCCTGTCCAGGCCTCAGTTTCCCCATCTGTCTGGGGTGGTGGTGGCTCCTATCTCCTCGGTCCCCCTTCCAGATATTCAACGAGGACTGGAAAAACAGTGGGGTGCGTGGCACCCGGCAAGATATGCGGGATGGCGGGTACGTGGGCAGCCGCCAGCCAGAGGGGCGGGCCCAGATACTAGGGGTGCAGCGCCACTCGCCCGGCCCCAGACCACTCGGGAAATAACCCGATGCACGCCCCCCTCCACAGCGGGAACCCCTGATCTGGGCTTCTACCACGCAGGGACCCAGGCAGGATGACTCTGGGAGGGGCCCGCTGACTGCGTGGCGGCCAGCACCCCTCCCTCCCTCTTCCCTGGTCCGCTTCCCTCTTCTCACCTCTTGGGTCCGGGCCGCCCCACGCGACCAGGCGCCGCGGTGCGCGTCTTCCACAGTGGCAGGACTGAGGTGGACACAGCGGCGCCGACAGAGCTAAACCCGCCCGTCCCTTTCCCCGCCCATTGCTCGGCCTCCGGAGGAGGCGGGGCCCGGCTGGCGAGACCCAGGGGCGCTGCGAGGACTCACCGGCGGAGAGGTGCAGGCGGCAGAACCGGTGCGAATCCCCGCCGCCGAGACAGTCACGTGGTTCTGCCGAGCGAGCGACGCGACCGCCAACCAATAACTCGGCCCGGACCGGCGAGGGTGCCGCCCCCTGGCCGCTCTCCTCCTCGCGATTGGCTGTCCTGGGCAGAAGAGCCTACGCTACACGGATTCCTAGGGAGGTTCTGCCCCTGCATGTGTGGCTTTGACTCCTCCACGGAGAGAGCTGATGACAGGTTTCGGCCGCCAATCAGTGGCGGGGATGAAACAGCAGGAGAGGCGCAGCAGCGCTCTGCCCAGAGTTTTGAAGTGCTCAGCGTTTGCGATTGGCCACGTCTTTATCCAGGGCTTCTTGGGACCCCATTCCCTCCCACCCGCCTTTGTAGAAGGGGAAATTGAGGCCTCGAACGGGAAAAGGTCTCCTGGAATGTTAGAGGCTCTTGCCCCACTCTAACTCATTCCCCATCAAAGATTCCAGTAGCCAGGCTAAAATGTAAATTAAAAGGCCGGGCGCGGTGGCTCACGCCTACAATCCCAACACTTTGGGAGGCCGAGTAGAGAGGATCGCTTGAACCCAGGGGTTCGAGACCAACCTGGGCAATATAGCGGACCCTTGTCTCTACAAAGAGTAAAATGTAAATTACAGTGTAATTGTAGTTTTTGTTAAAATCGTCAGTGGCTTTCCATGGCATTTACAGGTAAAATCAAACCCTCCCTATTCCCTCAAGGTCCTGCATGCTTCAAGTAGTCATCTCTGTCTCCCTTCCTTGATGATCTCCACCCATACCGGCCTCCTTTGCTCGCCAAGCTTGTCCTCTTTAGGGACCTAGACATTGTTTCTGGCTATCTGATTTCTTCTGGTCTCTCAGATCTCAGCCAAAACACCAGCCCTCTCCACAGCTAGGCTGTCCCTGACCACCCTGTGTAAACTAGCCAGCCAGTCACATCCTTTCGGGTCATCTTGATTTAATTATCTACCCCGAACTGGCCACTATTGAGTATTTATTAATTTGTTCATTCTTCACCTTGTTTGTAGCTTGCATGGGCCCACTAGATGGGAGTGAGGAAGTGCCTGTGAAGGAAGCATGATTAACTTCCTTCCCTTTCCAGCGAATGTCTTCACAGTCATTCAAGGCACTCCCTTTCTTATCTGGAGATGACCCCAAGTTTCTGTCACCCATCAGATTCAGAGTTTCCAAAAAGTCATAAGCTGTATTGGAAATCAGAATACAAACACCTGGGTTCTACTCCTGATGCTGTCCCTTGTGGCTGAGGACAAATCATTTCACCTCGATGGGCATCAACATTTTCACCTGTAAAAGGGCAGTTAACACCCTAGCACCCAGAGTCCTGGAGAGGGTCAAGTAATGCAATCAGTGTAAAGTACTTTGTTCAAGCCCCATTTTCCCTCCTGTTGGTCTCAGGGTTCGTAGAGGCAGCTGGCAGCCCGAGTGCCACGTATTATAGCCATTACCCTTCCCAAACAGCTTTTCCACAGCATAACTAATGATGTATGAACTGGGGACATGGTGAGTCAGCAAATAAATCATTTCAGGTTGGGGCCACTTCAGGATTTACCTCCTCAGTATTTCCTGATGCAAGAATTCACTCGCATTCTTGCATGCAACATTTATTTATTTATTTTCTTGTCTATTTTGGGACGCCAGGACCTTGCAGATAACAGGCAACAATAAAGATTGGCCAAATTTGGCCATGCGTGGTGGCTCATGCCTGTAAACCACTTGAGCTCAGGAGTTCCAGACCAACCTGGACAACGTGGTGAAACCCCATCTCTCCCAAAAATTGAAAAAACCGGGCATAGTAGCATGTGCCTGTAATCCCAGCTACTCGGGAGGCTGAGGTGGGGGGATAGCTTGAGCCTGGTAGGCAGAGAGAGCAGTGAGCCGAGATCATGCCACTATACTCCAGCCTGGGTGACAGAGTGAGACCTCATCTCAAAAAAAACAAAAAAACAAAAAAAACCAGACCAGTCCAATTTAATACTGCCTATCATTCTTTGATTTTATTTTATACATATTAATGTGCATTACAGTTGAAGAAATTGGGGCTGAGAATATTATTACTTACCAAGTTTATTTAGCTAACAAGCAGTGGATTTTGAGATGGGATGGAGGTGGATTTTGACCTGGGAGCTGTGACATGCCAACACCCAAGATCATGCAGCTATGGCCCGGGGCCAGGAGAAGGTGCTAGTAAAGAAGCTTTAGGTTGGCCGCTGGTGCCTCTTTGCCTCCTAGTTCAGCATCCCTGGCTGCTGTTTAATGTTGTGGTCCCTCCCTGACTCCACATACATCCCAAGGGGCTCCATGGAGCCGGGCTTTGGTCTACCATGCGACCTTCCCTTCCCTAATGCTCCAGTGCTCCACAGCAGGAATCATAGGAAGGGGGTGGAGGGGTAATTAAATCCCTGCTACTGGAAAGCTGTTAATAATTAGCTTTATCTCAATGACATTACCTCGATGATATGGTGTCAGCAGCACTTGGATTGCTTTACCTCTCCTAGCCTGGGCATTTTCCCTCCTGTTGGTCTCAGGGTTCATAGAGGTGGCTGGCAGCCCGAGGGCCACACATTATAGCCCTTACCCTTCCCACACAGCTTTTCCAAAGCGTAACTAATGATGTATGCACTGGGGACATGGTGGGCGAGCAAAGAAGTCATTTCAGGTTGGGACCACTTCAGAATTTACCTCCTGAGCATTTACTGACCACCCACTCTTCCCGGGTGGGACAGGTCACTTCTTCTGAGCCCCACTGGACCTTGAACTCCCACCGGACCCCCACTATTGAATGAGCTATTCCCAGTGTGTTATGCAGCCTTAAGTGTCACTGCTATAAGTGTCTTTTTTTTTTAGAGACAAGGTCTCCCTCTGTCACCCAGGCTGGAGTGCAGTGGAGAGATCATAGATCGCTGTAACCTTGAACTCCTGGGCTCAAGTGATCCTCCCACCTTAGCCTCCCGAGTAGCTAGAACCACAGTCAAACACCACCATACCCAGATAATTTTTTTATTTTTGTAGAGATGGGGTCTCCCTATGTTGCCCAGCCTGGTCTCAAACTCCTGGTCGGAAGTTATCCACCTGCTTTGGCTTCCCAAAGTATTGAGATTACAGGCATGAGCCATCATGCCTGGCCCGTTTTACTTTTTTAAAAAACATTTTTAAAAATCTTAGCTTGATTGTTCTTGTAAATAGGCAACACAAAGTAAACAAATTCAAAAGGTCAAAGGGCTTACAGGAAAAAGTAAATCTTCCTCACACCCTATATATTCTTACCCCAGTGTACCTTTCTAGAGGCAAACAGCACCTATTTCCTGTGGTGCTTTCCAGGTTTTTTCTGTACCAGGAGTTCTCAGTTCTGGCTGCACAAGGTCAGGGGTTTGCGACCAGCCTGGCCAACATGGTGAAACCCTCTCTCTACTAAAAATACAATAAATTAGCTGGGTATGATGGTGGGCACCTGTAATCCCAGCTACACGAGAGGCTGAGGCAAGAGAATTGCTTGAACCTGGGAGGCGGAGGTTGCAGTGAGCCGAGATCACACTACTGGACTCCAGCCTGGGCAACAAGAGTGAGACTCCATCTCAAAAAAAAAATAAATAAATAAAATAAAAGAATCTCTTGGGGAACTTTTTATTGGTGTTGAGTGGACCCAGACATTGATAGTTTTTAAAAGCCTGCCATGCAGCCATCAGAAAGAACAGTCACATCCTTTGCAACAATATGGGTGGAGCTGAATGCCATTTTCCTCAGCAAAATGACTCAGACACAGAAAACCAAACACGCATGTTCTCACTTATAAGTGGGAGCTAAACGGTGGGTACATGTGGTCATGAAGATAGAAATAACAGATACTGAAGACTCGGAAAGAGGAGCACAAGGGTTGAAAAATTACGTGTCAGGGCCAGGCATGGTGGCTTATGCCTGTAATCCCAGCACTTTGGGAGGCCGAGGCAGGTGGATCACCCTCGGTCAGGAGTTTGAGACCAGCCTGGCCAACATAGTGAAACCCCTTCTCTACTAAAAACATTAAAATTAGCTGGGTGGTGAGTGCCTGTAATCCCAGCTACTCAGGAGGCTGAGAGAGTAGAATCATTTGAACCTGAGGGGTGGAGTTTGTGGCAAGCCAAGATCATGCCCCTTCACTCTAGCCAGGGCTAAAGAGCAAAACTCTGTCTCAAAAAAAAAAAAAAAGAAAAAGAAAAAGAAAAATTACCTGTCAGGTACAATATTCACTATTTGGGTATTTGGGTTTTGGGTACACTAGAAGCCCAATTCCCTCTGGTATATATACATATATATATATATATCCATGTAACAAACAAGTAAATGTGCACCTGAATCTAAAATAAATATAAATTTAAAAAATAAAATTTTTTTTTCAAAAAAATCTTCCTAGGAGATTCTTTTTTTTTTCCTTTTTTTTGAAACAGGGTCTCACTCTGTTGCCCAGACTGGAGTATAGTGGTGCAACCGTGGCTCGCTGCAGCCTCAACTGCCCCAGGCTCAGGTGACCTTTTCACCTCAGCTCCCAAGAAACTGGGACTACAGGCACATGCTGCCACACATGGCTAATTTTTGTACTTTTTGTGGAGGTGGGGGTCTTGCTATGTTGCTCAGGTTGGCCTTGAACTCCTGACCTCAAGTGATCCTCTCACCTCATCCTCCCAAAGTATTGGGATTACAGGCGTGGGCCACAGCTCCCAGCTGCACTAGAGATTCTCAGCACACCTAGGTTTGGCAAACCACTATTGTATGCATATATAAGACTCTCTATATATATTTTTTAAACAAGAGGGGCATAGAATACATACCATTCTTTTCCTTTTTAAAAATTATGTGTTGAAGATTATTTTATATCAGTGCATATAGAGCTGATTTCTGCCTATTGCTGAATAAATCACTCAAAAAGGTAGAAGCTTAAAGCAACAATAATTTATTTTTATTTATATACTTTTTTTTTGAGACAGTTTCGCTCTTATTGCCCAAGCTGGAGTGCAATGGCATGATCTCAGCTCACTGCAACCTCTGCC